ACCAGTTTTAGGGGGCAATCACTTTTTCACACAGGGTCATGATGGTTTGGATTTTTTTTTCTCCTTTAATAATAAACACCTTCATTTACAAATTGCATTTTGTGTTTACTTGTGTTGTCCTTGACTATTGTTTAAATTGGTTTGATGTTCCGAAACACTTAAGTGTGACAAACATGCAAAAAAACAGTAAATGAGGAAGGGGGCAAACACTTTTTCACACCACTGTATATCTGTAATTTTCACACAATTTGGAACAATTTTTTACAAAGAGTAAATCTTTCCCACTTAATTGGTCATGTGACTATAAGGGTGTCCCGGGACTCCAGGGGATTAATCGTCAAATTAATTGTTATCGGCTAAATACCACAATTAATTGTGATTAATTTTTTTGCCAATATTGCCCAACCCTACACACAATTACTCGTTTTTTTGCGTGACAAACACATTTTACTCTTATTTTTACTTAAGATTTTTTTTCTCACTCACATTATATTTAATTCATTATTTTCCTGAATCTAGAAATCATTTCTGATCGCGCAGGGATCAAACAAACATGTCCTTCACACATGCAGGAAGTAATTTGCATCTGTTATGTTAAAGTAATTGTTATCTGTACATGTTAATGAAGGYGTTAGGGGAGGTGTCTTACCTGTACTCAGTTCCAAGTTAATTGTGATGTACAAAAGAAATGTGCGTGGATTCAGGCGTACGCATGGTTTGATACATCTGGATATTTTGTGCGTACGCCGTTTTCTGGATTTGACCGTACGCCACGTTTTAGTAAGAAATCCACGCAAGTTTTTGTACATGAGGCCCCAGGTGATCCTGACTTTAGTACGTTATATACAAACACCAATATAATGTAGGGCTGGGTTATAAAACAATAACAATATAGATCTAAACATCTGGTTCCCTTCAAAGAACCACACCTCTAATCTCTGGTAATGCTGTCAGGTTTACAACGGCCTCCATTACAGCTGTGTAATTTGTCTGAGGTCGCTTTACTGTCACCGTCATACAGGTGGGGAGTGATCTTATGTTGGCAGTATGCTAAAAAAAAAAAACACAAAGCTAAAAATTGGGAAATCAATATCGGACATTAATATCGGCCGGTATCAACATTCTAAAAAAATGATCAATATCGGCCAATACTAATGTTAATGCCAATATATCATGCATCCCTATTAAAAAGTATTTGTGATGACTGATAAATAACAAACAAAAATTGATTGTGTGCTTATAACTTTTGAATCTCCCTGTATTGATTGTGTGCTTATAACTTTTGAATCTCCCTGTATATATGCTACACTTCATTCAACACCTGAAAGTACTGTTTTCTGATCTGAAAATGCATGATGTACTTTAACTGCATACTTTCATTTTCGGTCATACAATTTACTTCAGACATACTGAGGATGTGAAAACTACCCACCTCCATTGTGATGTTAATAAATTAGATAATGATTTATCATTTTCAACTTTCTCCACCTTTACTGTGACATAAATACTCTGGTGTTCCAAAAAAAAAAAAAAAAAAAAAAAAAAAAAAAAAAAAAAACAAGATCTGTTATGAAACTAAAGAATAAAAAGTTGGTTTGATAAGTGTGAAAATTCTTCAACTGGTTGAAGCTGATTTCTTTTTTATTTATGGCACTCAGGATTCTTCAGTGTAAATCTGCACAGCTCTCTTTAGGTCCCTCCACAGGTTTTCAGGCCTCAAAAATTTAATTTTATTTTTGTTGAAGTCATTTGATTATTTGGATGTACACTCGAGGTCACAATGATCCAGAACAATAAACTTTATTTTCATCATAAAGGCTAGTAACAGTAGAGCTTAGACTTGAGTCGTGATGTATGTTTTTCATGGTCAATTTGAAAAAAATCAGGCTTTTTTTTTCTTTCCATGAACAAGGCTAACAAAATTGTGTTCTGGTTCATGCAAATTAAACAGAATATGTTTTAAGTCTAGGTAATTTTAAAAATTTAATTTTACGGAAATCGGGGCATTTGGTGGCCGATATCCAACAATGGTTTGTTTTAGTTTCTGGCCTAACWTTATAATACAGTTGTGTCACCTCAATAAACAAGCATTTAATAGAACTTGGACAAACTTTAACAAAATGAAACACCTAGAAGAGTKTTTTGGGCTAAACAGCTGTAGCTTCAGCACCTTCTTCTTCTTCTTCCACTGTTAATTTCTGTTCGGTGCAGTTGATTGTCAATATTTTTAAAAAATGGCTAATAGYTAAATGAGAGCAGAATAACGTGGTGTACCTCTACGGGCAGGAAAAAAGTTTTCAAATTATCAATCCTGKTTTAACTTTTACATCACAAAAATCTGACCCTTTAACAAAAAGGTGTGTACAATGACAAATATTTAAAACCAGTTAAAATTAGTCTGGAACGTAGTAGTAGTAGTAGGTAGTTCCGAACTGTGCTTTTTCCAACCCATTACCTACCAGCCAACCCCTACCAAAAAATACAATTAATGAAGAGAACTAAATTGGAGCTTCCTGACCTTTTACTGCTGTTGTAGTTTATTTTGAAAGGATTATACAGTTTTACAGCCGTGGGTGAGCTAAGCTTTACTGTCAGGTCACAGGAACACCTCGTCACACTGATCCATTAAACAGGTCAAATTAAAAGAATTTAAAAGATAGCAGAATTAGCCGAAGCGCACTTCTCTGTACCTGAAGCCTGTTTTAGTCGAGGGGTTTGCAGCTGCAGGAGTTGGGGTCATTAAACCTTAATTCACATGGTCTTTTGTTAGTAAAATTGCAAAATAGACTATTCTAAAATCAAACAGCGGGCCTTGAGTTTGACACAAGTGTTGTAGACCTTTATATCCACTATACGTGTCAAATAATAGAAAACAAATTAAACCTAAATGTAAACCTTAATTTCCTCTGACTTGCCTCAAGCTGCAACCCATACCAAAACCAGCCAACAGGTGAATTGTAATTATTGTCATTAATGCTGTTGTTGTTGTTATTATTATTATTATT